ATACAACCTGTCCCTTCTAGAGATACAACGTATCCCTTCTGGAGATACAACCTGTCCCTTTCAGAGATACATGTCCTTCTAAAGATGCAACGTGTCCCTTCTAGAGATACAACATGTCCCTTCTAGAGATACAATGTGTCCCTTCTGGAGATACAACGTGTCCCTTCTAGAGATACAACGTGTCCCTTTTACAGATACAACGTGTCCCTTTTAGAGATACAACGTGTCCCTTCTAGAGATACAACGTGTCCCTTCTAGAGATACAACGTGTCCCTTCTAGAGATACAACGTGTCCCTTCTAGAGATACAACGTATCCCTTCTAGAGCTACAACGTGTCCCTTCTAGAGATACAACGCGTCCCTTCTAGAGATACGCAAAACAGATGACAAATGCACTCATCAATTCGTCACCAGCTTTACAGTAAGGTGCACACGGAATGGGCTTTAAACAGTAAAATAGCAAAAAGTTTTCCTGGCACACTCACCAGCCATCATGTAAAAAAAACTGTCTAACCGCTAAGGTTAAAAACAGAGGTTTGGATAACGTCTTCTGCAGAAAATGTGAAAGCCGCACAGCCGCGCCAAGGCACCTCTCATAGTGCGGTCCTAACTCTAAACTATCAGAGCCTCCTCCAAGACGTGTATCCAAACCTCTGTTTTTAACCTTAGTGTGAGACAGGTTTTTTTACCTTCTAGAGATACAACGCGTCCCTTCTAGAGATACAAAGTGTCCCTTCTAGAGATACAACATGTCCCTTCTAGAGATACAACATGTCCCTTCATTGGGATTTCCAGTAAGGACTGCTACAAGATTCATGGACATTTATTTCTCCTAGAGATACAATGTGTCCCTTCTAGAGCTGGAATTCAGCTTTCAATACAAATGAAGGTTCTTAGTCCTAACGGCTAATCATAAGTAGTTTGATGGTCATTGTGTCCCCGGGATTTCTCCTTTAAATCCCCTAATCTCTAAACCTCCTCTATCAATAAGGATTATGGAGAACTACGTGTATGAGAATTTAAAGTGATGTCACCTTCTTGCCGCTGCC